AATAAAATAAATTAAATTAAATAACATAAAATAAAATAATATAATTAACCTAAAATAAAAAAATAAAACTTTCGTTGAATGAAAGAAAATGAAGTAAATTAAGATAATATAAAACAAAACAAAATGAAATAACATAAAATAAAAAATCAATAAAATAAAATAAATTAAAATGAAGTAACAAATAAAATAAATAAATTTAAAAAAATTAATAAAAATATAAATATAAAATAAAAAAATAAATTAAAATAATATATAATGAAATAAAAAAGAGTATAATAAAATAAATTAAAATCAAAGAAAATAAAATAAATTTTTTAATAAAAAATTTAAATTTTTTCCATAAAATGGTGCCATTTAGTTAATTAATAATTAAAAATTTCAGGCACATTAAATTTAAAATAATTCTGTTTTTTAATCCTGCAATTGTTTTTAGACTAAATAAACTAAAGTTTATTTCGAAAGAATAACATAATTCATTCTGACAAAGTTAAAATTTTAATTGATAAACATATATGTATATATATTTTTTAAAATCATTTTTAAATAATTTTTTTTTAAATTTTTTTTTTTTTACTTTTCTTTCACCTTAAAAGAAATTATTTTTAAGCTTAATATGAAAAATAATGAATATAAAATAATGTTTAATATTTTAAATTGATATTATTAATTTTTTTAATTTTTAAATAAGTTTTTTTTTTTTTAATTTTCCATATTTTTCCTATAAAAATGAGAAAAACTTAGCTCTATAAAAGATTTTCCATACTCTTCCTGCGGCCACAGAGTTTTAATTTCGATCTCAGCATATAATATCTTATTTCTATAAGTACATAAACAGGCACATATGTTCAAATGTATGTGTGCATCTGCAAGTGCAAGTCATGCAATCACGACAACTGTCGGAAATTAAGTTCTTGCAATTAGCGGAAATTGTAGTTGTACTTAACGTGGTGGCGCTTACACACATACACAACAGACATTCTCTATGGCCTCCTAGCGATTTTCCGAATATTTTCCTTGCAGCTGCGGTGACTGATGAACCATTTACTTAGTTGCACGGAAATCCACTGTCACTTGGTCTCATGTGGCACTTAATATTTCTAATAAGACTCGCTGGGGGAGGTTAAAAGAAAGTAGTAACTATAAAAAATATATCTACACACGTACATATGTATGTACATACATACATGTGCGCACATTGATGTTGTGAAATTGGAATTCAGTTCATTGTAAGGATTAAATGGGTCAATGAAATTATGCCTGTTAAAAGTTGTGTGCGTTTTAAGCGGAGATTTCTTTTAGTTTATCCAAGAACCCTTTAATCATACTTCAATCTTGCTGTAGGTTGTTCTAACGCAAATTTCATTCATTTTTTCAGAGAATTCAAATTCAATATACACATATGGATGTATGTATGTGCATAAGCAGCTTCAAAGAAGGAAAATACTTAAAGTTACCCTAATAAATTTCGTAAAATTCCACTTGCTTCTTTTGCCATTTATCTCTGATAGAATTTTTATCTCACGCTTACTTAAATTCTTGGCTGCAACACCAGATGTTAGTAAATTAATTTAGATACCAAAGCGGAAACACAGCTCAACAACAGATAGCCAGTTAAAAGGAGGCGACATAAATGTAGCAGCATCGGTTTACTTCAAACTCAAAACAACAACAGCAACAAAAATCTATGAAACACTTGATTTTCGTTGCCAAAAATGAGTTGAGTAGCAGAAAAGTCTTTAGCAAATATTCTGAAATAGGTACATATATATGTATGTATGTAAGTTTGTTTGTATGTATACAGATATGAATATACTTTATGGGAAAACCATCATGTGCTATAGATAATTATGAAAAAAAAAATTCAAAAAAATAAAAATAAAAGAAAATAAAAATAAAAATCAATATGAGGGTGCATAAAATTGAGTAAATAAGCATGTTCAAAAACAGGATGCTTCTAGCACTTGAGAATGTATGTATTTTAGGTATATTAAATAAAATGAAGTATATATGTATGTACACATGTACTGTTTGAAAAAATATATATAAATATATTAAACGGTATTTATAAGCAGTTCTTTATTTTTTCATGTTAAATCAAACATCTGTTTTATATCATGTCGGTACGTACATACATACACACGTAGTATGTAAATATGTAGATATATTTATATACATATGTATGTATAAAAAAAAAGTAAATTTATGCAGCGACACATTTTCTCCAACATCATTCCCTTTACTTATGTTTGTATGTTTGTAGGTGTTGCTGTCAAGCAATTTGTTATTCGTTTTAAGGCAACTCAATTGATTTTCAAAACATTTTATGTAAAAGCAATACAATTTTAAGTCTTATAATTAATTCAGTTGCTAAATTTTTAGCGAAATAAAATACTGTTTACAGTTTTATATATGCATTAGAAATGTTGCATTAAATCAATTCGAAAACAATATTTCAAATGTTTTGTTTTTTCGTCTTTTTTTCACTAAAGAAAAATTTAGAGTTTTACCAAAAAAAAAAAAAAAAAAAAACAAAAAATATTATAACTCATTTGGACAATATATGGATGTACATACATATGTACATATGTATGTATATTTTATTTTACAGTTATTTTACTTAGTTTTAGTTATGAAAAAAATTAACCAACCTCATATATTTTTACTCTAACGTTTTTAATTTTATATTTTACCGATATTTTTTTTTTAATTTTAATGCTAAAAATTGCGTTAAATTCTTTATTGTTATTTTTTATTTATTGATTTTATGAATATGCTATATGTATGTTATTTATTAATTAATTAATTTTTGGTTAGCAACTAAAAATATTTTAGTAGACAATTTTAATTGTTTAATAATAATTTCATCTTTTTGAACAATATATAATTATTTTATGATATTGTATTATATTTTTAATTTTTTTATTTTTCCGCTTGTATTTGCATTTAATTCTTTATTGTTATTATTTATTTATTTATTAATTTTATTTATTAATTTTATGAATAACCTATACATGCATTATTTAATAATTAATTTATTTTTGGTAAGCAACTAAAAATATTTTGGTATACAATTTACAGTTTTTAATTATAACTGCTGAGTATAATAAATTAAATTACAATTAAATTTCAATCTGTGAAAGTTTCTAAAATTAATCGAGAGACCACGAGTTTGCTATTATTATTCTGGAATCAGGAGCACACGTATAAACTAGCAATATTACAAATATGAGAACATATCTAAATGTATAGACACATGCACATACATATTATATGCACACACTTTTAATATGTAAATCTACAGCTAATCTTTTTTTTTTAATTTTAAATTTCTGTTATTGATAACATAATTACTGTTGTTTTTATTGTTGTAGCTGCAAAAATTCTCCCAAAAATAGTTTTTGAGGGAAAGCTGCAAGAGTGACAGTCCTTTGCCGGATAAAAATCCGGATCGTTTGGGTAAAAAACCCGACTGTCGCGGGAACTATTGGATTTTAGTCGCCTCTTACAACACTCAGGCCTTATTGTGGCCAAATCCTTAAACGCCTACTCCGCAGCGGCACTGATTACATCGTCTTATGTTATAGTATGCATGTAATATTAGTCACAGCGTGTGAAAATGAAAGTTCAAAGCTCAAATATGCAATTAAAAAATAAAAATAATCTACACTGTATTCATTGAAACTCTAAATAAATCAATTGGCTGCCTACATACATATACATATATGTATGCATATTTACATATACAATTATCTAAAAACAAATTCATCATACAGTATTTTTTATAAATAAATATTAGAATAAAGTTTAGATTGATGACTACATACATACATACATACATACATACATAAGTAATTAATATTTTCTTTTCAATCAGATTTACTTATAAATATTTTATCAATATATTTGCAGCAGCTTTCGCTAGAATTTACTGGAAGGTCTTTTTAAATGGAACACACACACATACTTTTATATATTATTTTCTATGAAAATTATTTAATATGTTTACATATTATTGTCTATTTCCTATCAAAACAAAAAGTATTTCTTCCTTAAACTTAAGTTCAAGTCTGTAGCACTACATTGATAACACAAAAAAATATTAATTTATGTATTTACATACCTGCATAAATAAACATATTTAACGATATTTAATTAAAATCATAAATACAACTATTAATTGTTAATAATAGCTTTTTTTAGCCGTTACATTTGAGAAACTTCCCCAACAAACTCTATTTAGAAGATAACGATCTGTGCTATGTATGTATATGTATATAAATATGTGTATGCCAATTTATGATTTTCTCTTATGCCAATTGCACACATTCTTTAAGATCTACAATATATGTGGTTCTTAAGACACATTAATTGCTCTACACAAATACATTTATGTATATTCTTATTATTCTCACTTTATCACTTTTAACACGGCTAGAGTAAGCGAAGTGCTACATATATTTATGGTGTGTGAGTCACTGTAATGCTTTTGAAATTTGAACAGCTGAAGGAGATAGGTTTGTGGATTTATCTCGCCTGTGGGCTAAAGAGATTACTTAAGCGCCAGAAAAATGCAGACAGCCCATAAATAAGAAGTACCAATGGACCATGAATGCAGCAAAAATGCAATTAGAGGCATACATCGATATATGTATATGTATTAAAATTGAAAACAAAATAGCAGCAGGATATGTGAGTGTGTTGCTTAAGGACACCAATAACTTGGTGCACCTGCAGCCACTGGTTTAACACTTTGTATTGTGTGTATGGCCGTACTTGACAGCAGTCAGTGTTTGGAGGTATCGACTCTGCAGCTGGTGCACACATTAATTACGGATTACTCATATACGCAATGCTTTATAATCCACGACTTGTGCAGTGAAACATAGGATACCGTTAACACCTGACACTACAGCACTGACCAAGCACAAGCATATGTTTATAAATTTTTGCATATATAATATAACATGTAGCGTCAATTTGTACTGCCACGAACTACTAACCTTTTGCTCCAGTTCTCTTTCATTTAAAGCTGCCCAGTGCGTAGAGGTTGTTTTAGTTAGTTTTTTTTTTTTTCAAAAACGTTTGGCTGATTGTCTAAAGGTATACCTTGCGTTTTTGCACTTTCACGTCACAGAAGTTAATGTATTGTAGATATTATGCGAATTTACTATGTAGCCCGGAATTATGTATGAATATAGCAAGCGATGTTTTGTTATTTAATAATTCGCGCTTTATATCGTAAATGTGCTTAAAAGTGATTTATGCAATTTTTATTTTCATTAAAGACGTGTAAAAATAAAATCAATTATATAATTAAATGCTAAACTTTAGCCAAATGCTGGTTGCTTTATTCGCAAGCAATTTGTTTTGACTTATATTTAATTGTCAAAAATTGTGAAAATCTTTCCGCACACTTCAGCTTTATTTATACATTTATGTTTTTATATTCAACTTATTTATTGCATTTGGAAATAACTTCCTGATTTTTATCGCTTTTACTTTTGTGTTAGCTCCTTTTCGATTATGTCGTAGCCGATGGCTCGCTGCCACAGCCGATAGTTTCACTTTTTTTCAGCTTCCGTTTTCAGTCGCGCACCGCACGCAATTTCACTTCACTTTATTTAACTCGCTAATTGAACGTGTTACAAAACTTTTTATCTTTCTCTATGTGGATGTGTAATATTCCGCTTCACCCGAGTTATCACCTATTTAAGCCAGCACAATGGACCAACTATGCACCAAGTGATCTGGAACTCAACACCTAACCTAATCACAAAGTAGAAAAAATATATTTACGAATGGTGGAAGTGCAGTAGGCAACAGAAAGCGCTATTGTGAATGTCGTACTGTCAGAAACAGATGTTAGCTAAAACTTGATTGAAAACAGTGACATATTAAGGCCAGTTCAGATAAAAATTATCAGCTCACTTGACAGTTCAGTCTCTGACCACGCAACGGATAAAAATATAATATTTTATAAGTAAAATCTCTTATGAGTTCTCTGACCATGTGTTGGAATCGAGAATTCATTAATTGTAGCATAGTTGAATGGAGGCAAAATTTTGATTGACCATACACGACAGATTCGGTTAATGACCTCTCCTACGTCATGCTCTTTACAACATAGTAAGAGTCACAAGTTTCTCGTCGAGTATGTATTCTTAGAGAAATTGCCTAATATTTTGCAAGCTGTTAAACAGAGAACTGCTATTACTTATTAATATACTAATAGTAATTACTTACGTTTAAGCAAATTTCCAAAACGCATGCGGTCTAGCGTCCACTAGCTACGAGTCTTGACCTTACACGAAGCTGAAATGTGCCAAAATCGTTTCTGTGTGACTATGTCATTGTGACATTTCGTTTGACATTTGCGTCTATTCTGTGATTTGCAAAAATTTCTTATTACAAAAAGTTTTAGTTCGTTTGTGTTTTACAAAAAGTGATAAGGAAAAATTGAAAACTATATATTCACATAATGGCCGCGCCAGCAGTAAATGTATCTGCTTATTTAGCAACACAAAAGAAGACTACCAACAAAGAACTTGCATCAGAGTGGACGACCATAGAAGATTTATACAATGAGAAGTGAGTTTTTTTTTTTTGACGCGAATATACGTTAATATCATTCTACAATACACCTTTATTTATTTCTTATTAAAAAGGCTTTGGAATGAGTTGACTATTCTTTTGACACGATTTGTACGCCACCCCGCTCTTCAGGATGAGGATACATTATTGCAGCTGTATTCAAACTTTATTTCTTCATTCGAAACTAAGTAAGCCAATTGGAAGTTAAAGACTTTAGTTGAGGTTATGTTTGTAAGTATAGGGAGTTTATTAATTAATATTTGTGTTTTTAATTTTTTATCACAGAATAAATCCGTATGGCTTGGTACAAATACTTGAAGTTGTAGTAGAACACATTTCTGATAAAAAAGAAGCAGTCGAATTTTTAGAAAAACTGAAAGAAAAGGTTAATATTTGCGATGAGGCTGTTTGGTACATACGGGTAAGTAAAATTCCGAAAAAATGCTACATTTGATATCTCACACAAATTTGATTTTTGACTAAAAAATGGTATGAGCAAGAACTTCAGTTTTTCTTCCTTAAAGAGATATCAAGATGTTTAGTTGGCTATTTATTTTGCACTAAATAACATCTATCTACATATATACCATAGTATTTAAACACATAGCGCTTTATTTTTAATTATTACTTTAATTTTAAGGTACTGCAAGGCAATTTGTACTTAAGCAATCTCAACGACTTGGATGCTACAAAGAAAATCATTGAAGAACTACGTGAATTTCTGGAAGAGGCAGGCAATGTCACACCAGTTCATGGCAAATTCTATATGCTTGCTTCACAATACTACCGACGTGTGGGCAAACATAGTGATTACTACCGTTGTGGACTGCAATTCTTAGGCTGTTCTCTTGATGATTTTCCAAAAGATCAGTGGGCACAGCAAGCATTTTTCCTAGGTCTTGCTGCATTGCTGGGCGAAGGCATTTACAACATTGGTGAGCTGGTGAGTGTAATTAATTGTTTTTTTTTTTTAGCTACGAACTTAATAACGGCATAAAAATATTACTGTTTTGAATTTCAGTTGGCGCATCCCATATTAGAGTCATTAAAGGGCACAGACAATGAGTGGCTGATGGAACTGTTGAAAGCATTTAACACTGGTAATATACCAAAGTATGTGTGCTCTTTTCAATAATTAAGCATACGAATATTTTAATTAAAATTATAATTTTTCGAATAGATTCAATGAAATGAAGAAAATCTGGTCAAAAATACCCGATTTGGCTGCACAAGAAGTTAAGCTGCGTCAAAAGATCTCCTTACTTTGTCTTATGGAAATGACCTTCCAACGTTCAGCTACTCAACGTTCTATTTCATTTGAAGAAATTGCCAAAGAGACAACATTGCCATTGAAAGACGTTGAATTGCTTATCATGAAAGCTTTGGCACAGGATTTAGTACGTGGTGAAATAGATCAAGTTGCCGGTGTGGTGAATATGTCTTGGGTATGTATTGTGTTGGTACTTAATCATCTATGTTCATTATCCAACTTTCCAATTTTTAGGTACAACCTCGAGTATTAGGGCGTAAACAAATTGCGGGCATGGCTACTACCTTAGACCACTGGATGTCGTCTATCACTTCAATGGAGAAACTAATGGAAACGCGTGCCGGTGAAATTCTAACCAATTAGTAATTATTTTATTCGAATAAACTTTTTGAAGTGTTTTGATAATAGTAATTTAGTGTGGAAATAAAATAAAATACGTATTGCTTTATATGCAAGCAGTACATATTTGATATATGAAACATACTTTTTCTATACACAAATTTTGAAATTAAAACACAATTTTTTTTTTTTTTTTATAATTTTTTCTTGTTTTTATTTGGTACAAATTTTTTGTGCTATAGTAGTTTTACAAGTATGTGTATACTATTTCTTAATGACAATTAATTTAGTTTTATCTAATTCGCAACATCATGCTCGGAAGCCATATTTGACATTAAATGGTTTTCAGTTTTTTCTCTTCTCACTTAAAATCTGTTAAAAATACAAATTTTAGTTCGCTTATAATATTAGTAAAAATAAAAAAAAAATAAAAATACATTAACAAGTCAATTGGTTTTGAAAGCAAGAGTAACATAATTTAGAATTTCCAATATGTACACAAGTTATTTAACGCATTCAGCCTGAACTTATTATAATTCTTAAATATTATTGATTTATTTACATGCATGCATTTATGTATCAAAAAAGCAACAATTGATTACAGCCAGCCTTATTGTGTGCCAGAAGACGCTTACAATGCCACATCGCACGCTCCCCATTGAGCTCAAATCAAATATTCAAGCAACGCAATTTTCGTTCTGGAATACGCGATGTGAACTCGAATGTAGGTGGTCGTTTGATTTCTTCGTGCGAGTCACGTCGTATGCGTTCGGGTGCAACACCCATCACAGACCACAGAGGTATTTGGCGTTGATTTAATTTTTCCAGCACCAAAAATTCCAACTCAAAAAGATGTGGATCCACAACATCAGGCATTTCCTCACGCATAAAATCAGCTAAACGTAACAAATACTCGACATTATGACCACTGGGACCACGACATTCCACAATCTGTTCAGCAATATTGTTTAGCGTATCTTCGCCGAGCCAATGACAATTATCGGGGGTGGCCACATACACCAACACATGCACCGCTTCACCACTAAAGGGTGTATCGTAGGAGGCGACTCGTGGAAAGAATTTAGTTTCGAGTATGATGTAGCCACCTGTAAGGAGAAATGGAAATATTAATGCCAAAGTGTATACAACTGAATAAAGGTAGTAAGGGAAATGAAGGAAAATATATTTGAGTTTGTTTGTGGTATTCCATAAAAGACGCACCCAATTTGCATTCTCGCTGCTTCAGATAATCCAACGCCGTGCTACCGGTAATTTTGTATGCACAACCCCAGGTGATGCCCTAAAATGGAAGCGGAAAAAACTTACATTAAATATAACTTTAATACAATATTTACTTTTTTAATATTACATTCAAAAAAAAAAAAAAAAAAAAAAAAAAAAATGAAATGAAATAAAACAGAAAATTCTAAACTGAATTAAATACAACAGTCGGAAAATTCAGCCTCCACAATGAAACATTCCCAAATGTGCTAAGGCTAATCGACTTCGCAGAAGCCCGAAATATGGTTGTATGTCGTACTAGATTCCACCACAAGAAAATTCACCAAGCTATTTGGCTGTCTGTCTCCAGATCGAAAAACTTTCAACCACATCGACTATTTTGTGATAGACGGAGTGTTTTAAATGTGCGTACGTTCCGAGGTCCTAACATCTACTCGGATCACTATCTTGTCGCAGCGAAGATACGCATGCGCCTCTACGTATCGAAGAACGCCCGTCAACAAGGAAGGTTCGACGTTGAAAAGCTGCAATCACAACAGACTGCTCTCTGAGAGCACTCATCAGCAAGCCGGTATTAGGGAAATTTGGGACGGCATTACAAGCTCCCTACGTACAGGTGTTTGGTGGCCGAGCAAGGCGCATTTAGAGGGTAAAAGAAAGAGCCTGAAATGGGTGAGTGAGTACAAGGAGCTTGAGAAGCTGGCCGACAAGGGTAAAGTTCGAAAATTCTACGAAAAGATAAAGGTTTCAAAACTGGAGCAAACTCTTGTAGGACCCAGAGAGAGAAGGTGAACCCGAAACTCCAATTTATGACAATGGAAAAGTTATTCCATTACCTGATTGTGAAGATGGCCGAATAGGAATCGCCCGCTTATTGGCCGAGCTATTCAAATACGGCATTGAAGAGGAGATCAGTTGCAGGCATCGGCCTCTTTGCAAAATATAGTCGGATGAAAGCATGCCCGACGACTCCAACTTAAGGAACCCCCTGCGGGTTAGGGGCTCAAGAATTTACCCGCGGTAAGGCATGCCTATCGTAAGAGGCGACTAAAATCCAATAGCTCCCGCGACAGTCGGGTCTTTATACCGGAACGACCCGGATTTTTATACGGCCAAGGATTGTCACTCCCGCAACATTCCCCAAAAAGTACTTTGGGGAATAATTTTACGGTTACAACAACAACAACTCCAACTCCAACTTAAGTGCGCCCTGCCCAATCCACAAAAAAGGCGATTCAACAGTCTACGCCAATTACCGTGGAATGAGCCACCTTAATATCGCCTATAAGGTCCTGTCGAGCGTGTTGTGTGAAAGACTAGAGCCCACCGTCAACAAACTGATTGGATCTTATTAGTCAGTGTGGCTTTAGGCGTGTGCGAGGAATGATGCAGAAAGGGTAATTTTATTATTATTTATTGTTTTATATTACATAAGCAGCAGCAAGAATATTTTATAGTAAGTATAATCAGAGAATGTTAATGGAATGGAGTAGGCGCTAATGTGAAGTCACGTCGGATCCCAATTGGAACAGGCAAAAAATTCGGCACCAAAAAACGTATTATTTTGTCCCTAAGCTAAGCTAATCTAAGATTTGACCCAACGTCGAACGTTCTACGTTCTACGTTTTTCTACGAAATAAGTTAGTTACAAAGGGAACTCGTTGGCGTAAACATAGAATGCAAAATTAATTAAAAAAATAAAATAAATTAATTAATTACTTTTTATGGATGGGGAGGATTTATTATTTATTTACGTATATTTATTTCCCTTGCCTTAACCTTAGTTTAATTTAATTTAATTTATTTTACTTCTTGCAAATTGAGTGTGATTCGTCTTTGCCAGTTCCCTATTGGTTTGCGTCTTCAATTTCGACTAGTTCCCCATTGGGTCTTGTATGTGCTAAGCGATCCGGCGTGACTTGAAATTTTCGCCTGCTCATTATTAAACGCCTATAAGTATGCTACAAACATTATACCAATCAATACACATTTCCCACGTACAACAAATGCGCACCAATTCGTAGATGCTTTTTCAAATGCTAATACAACATATACCGTTCATTAGCATAGTTAAATCTGAGGTCGACGCTAGTTGTTCGAATCTTCCATGCTTGTTTCTCGGGGTCACAAACGAGTTCCTGGTAACTCTATAATTCACCCTGGGTAAAGTCCCCGGGCCTAGGATAGAAAGTATCAAGGTGTGAAAAGGTGCAAAACAAAAACAAACTGTGTTTGTGATTGTTTGTTTGTGCTTCGCCTATATTCCGAGGAAATCCGCCAGACGCCATAAACGAAGAGAGCAATCGAGTTTTCGTGCGTTCGGTGTCCACGGAAACGTGCCAGAGTATTATCAGATATATACAAGCATGAGTAGCTTTAGAGCGAATTCGTGCACGGAATGGGGCTTATATTGGGAAATTTGAACTTACGTCAAGAAAAGGATCTCTACTCTTTTTACACCCATGAGGTGGGTGGACTGAGTGAACACGTGTCAGCGGCAGCGGTTTTGGCATCAGTGTCAGTAAACAAAACGACGTAACTCGTATGAGTTGTGTGTGTAATTTTGTCGTTGCCGGTGTACAAAGTACAAAAATTGTTAAGAAATACATATGTATGTAATGTAAATATACATATGTATGTAATGCTAAATCATCTGTAGACGTTTATTTGTACATTCATATACATACATACATACATGTGTATTTGTAATGATAGCAAAATTATTTTCTTTATGTGTAGGCGAACAGCGTTCGAAATTTTTATTACATCTTTATTGTGTTGAATTTGTATGTGTGTATGTAGTTGTAATGTTTACAAAACCAAAAATAGCAAACTAAAAGTGTTGTGGAGCAAATTACGCGCAGTTGTCAAATGAATAATTTTCTTTGTTTTGACATTTTTATTATTTACTCAATCGCTGCGAACTTCATGTTTGTAAAAATTTAATACAATCATACATACATATATTAAAATATTTTAATATTGCACTAATTTTTAAGATTTCCTAATAAACAGATAACTCTTTAAACAAAATTTAAATAATTGAAAAATTATAAAATAAAATAAATATATATGTACATATGTATATATCTCTCTTATAATACTCACATTATGGTCATCACTCACCTCTTTGTCTTCGATGAGTGTCGCCACGCGGCCAGGCTGTGAAAAATTGTAAAAGAGAAAAACAAAAAAAAAAGATAAATTTTAATCATTTGTTTAACACAATTTTATTGCATGTCGTTTAAATAGACTTAAGTAAGTACCTTATTTTAATGTATATATGTATGTATGTAGATATTAATAATAAAATGCATTCGTAACAAGGCATGCATGCATGCGCCGAGTGCAATGAAACAAAATTCTGCCTACAATTTTTGCGATTAATGCAATTTCCTTGCATATTTTTGTTTTCATTTTTAATTCCATTTCATTATGCATGCACACATACACGTACATACATACACACTTGCAATGCACTTTTATTGCTTTAACTAAGTTTTGAACTTAAACGTATGCAACCTTGACGCCAACTGCGGACACGTTTCGCTCAGAAAATAAATGTAATTAAATAAATCAGTAGATATTTTCTGTTGATTTTTTTTAAAAATTACTTTACTTTTTCTTGTTTTTGTATTAACAGCCGATTGGATAGCATTACATATTAAAACACTGGTCCGATCAACATCCGAAATTAAAATAATTATTTTTTCTAGTGGGGCTCGAGTGTTTTTCCGATAAGAAATAAAAGCTCTTCATAAAAATCCAACGGCCGTTTGAAGGCGGCTTAGTACAAAGATAGTATGGTGCAAGTCTCTCCATTTGTTAATGAAAATATTAAGAGGCACCTCGAAAATTGGAAGAGTACCTCGACCAAAAATCGGTTCTTTGGTTAAAAAGAGACAATTAATTATATAGACGTATATCTTTTCCTATTGTTTTATTTCTATTTTTTTATATATAATTTTTATTCAATTTAATTATTTTCCACCATTTGATTTGATTTTAATTAATTTACTTTATTTTATTTTTAGTTCATTTCATTATTATTTTTTATTATTATTGGTTGTTTAATTAATTTAATTAATTCTGTTTTTATTTTTCCTTTTGCTTTTTATTTGTATATATATTTTTATTTAATTGATTTTTTTTTTTGCATTTTACTTTATTTTATTTACATTATTTTCCACTATTTTATTTTTATCTGTAAAACTTATTTTATCTTTATTTCATTTTATTGCTTAATTTATTCTATTTTACCTTACTTTTTATCATTCTTATTTATTTTATTTTTTATTTTATACTTTACTTTATCTTTTTTTATTTTATTTCACTTTATTTTAATTCTATTGTTTTCTACTATTTTTTATATGCTTAAATTATTTTGTTTTTTATTTTATTTTATTTTACATTATTTTATTTTTTTATCTTGATTTAATTAACTTTAATTTATTTTAATTCTTTCTATAATTTTTTGTTTTATCATTCATTCTTTCAATTTATTTATTCATTTTATTTTATTTTATTTTACTTTTCTACTATATTTCCTTTTTTTTCATTATATTATTTTTTTCTTTATTTTATTTTATTTTTCTTTAAATTATTTTATTTTATTATATATTTTTTAAATTAATTTTTTTAATTTTTTTTGCTTATTTTATTTCATTTAATTCTATTTTTATTCTATTTGTTATTTTATTATTTTATATTTAATTTAACGTTATTTGTTTTCATTTGGTTTTATTTTCCTTTATTATATATTATTTCTTTGTATTTGGTTTCTATAATTTTATTTTAATTATTGTTTTAATATTATTATTATTTTTAATTTTTGTAATTTTTTTTAGATATATTTTTTTTCTTTACCATTTTTTATTTTTATTTATTTTATTCTACTTTAATTTACTTTATTTCATTTTATTATTTTATTTTATTTTCCTTTCCTTTGCTATTAGTTTTTTAATTTTATTTTATTTTTATTATTATTTTACCACTATTATATTATTATTTTTATTTTTTTAATTTTTTATATATATTTGTTTTTTACCATTATTTATTTGTAATTAATTTATTTTAGTTGCTTATTTTATTTTACTTTGATTTATTTCATTTTATTATTTTTTTTACTTTATTTTATTTGTGTTTTTCATTTTATTTCTTCTTTTATTTTATTTTGTTTAATTTTATTTTTTTTTGTCTTTATATTTTATTTTTATTTTCATTTTTTTTTTTTACTATTTTATTTTATTCTACTTTTGTACTATTTTTTACTTGTTTTTACTTTAGTTTCTTATTTTCATTTATTTTATTTTATTTTACTTTAATATGTTTTATTTTATTTTATTATTTTCTTACTTTATTTTATTTTATTTTATTTATTTCCATTTTTGTTTCCTTTTTTTCTTTTGTTCCATTTAATTTTCTTCAATTTAATTTTTTTTAGAATTTCTTTTATTTTTTATTTTTATTTATTTTATTATTTGTTTCTGTTTTTTTTTAATTTAATTAAATTTATTTAATTAATTTCTTATTTCATTCTGTTTAAATTTATTATTTTTTATTTCATAGATTTTTTTGTTTTATTTTTTATTTTATTTTAAGTTATTCCACTTTTTTGGTTATTTGGTGAATTTTATGTTTTAACCATATAACAAAAAAAAAAAAATAAAAGATAAAAAAAAGCAAAAATAAAACAAAATAAAATATAAAATTAAGCGAAACAAAAGAGAACAAAATGAAACAAAAAATAATTTAAAAAAAATTAATTTAAATAAAAAGAAAAAAATTAAATAAATAAAAATAGAAAAAAAAGAAATTCTATAAAAAAAATTAAGAAAATATAGTTATGAATTTGTTGTACCCGGACAATCGTATCGTAATGAATGGTGATTATTTTCCTACTGGCCTATTCAAACAGACATATATATATAATATTATGATTTTCCCGCATAACTTGATAAATGTTTTAGTTATCTCGATGATCTTTGTTTAAATATTTCCATATGCTCCAGCCAATATACATACATATACATATACAAATGCACGTACACACAAAGGTATATAAATAAATAAATATTTTACTACTTCCACTTATTTTTCTATTAATAAATAATTACTATTTTAGTATTAAAATGCTTTTATAAACGCAATTTACCGATAAAAAATATCATAAAGTCCACTTATTTGTTTACATAATCGATAACAATGACTTAATTATATTAGTTTTATTTTGTTAATTAACTACTTCAAACAACTGTGGCCAAAAGTGGCACTCAATAAACGAAATATGGATAAGCAGTTAATGTTGATAATTGTATATTAATTGCATTTTATTGTTAATAATTATCAATTCAATTTTACACAAAAATGAAATAAAAATTTAATTTGAATCGCATTAAGAAAAATATTAATTTTGCATTTCAGTGCCAAAAATTATTTTCAAAAATGTGGAAGTTATCATTAAATATTCATATTAATAGTACGTTTAGGATGAGGACGGTACATCGAGAAAACTAACAACAATTTAAAACACATTCATAAATGACGGGCCATATACCGAGTACGCGCTCATTCGGTGGGCTGCAGAAGAAAATCGAAGTGAGCTCAAAGAGCCATCAACATCAATTTGACACTCTTCGTTGGAATTAAACATTTTGCACACTTGCTCGCGCAGATACGAAGGCTTATAAAGTCGAATTGGTTCAAGAACTGAAGCCTCATTATACTATCCGATGAGATTTCGCTTGGTTCAATGGACTGAACATCGCTTGGAAAAAGTAGAGCATATTTACCGAAAAGTCATATTTTTCAAAAATCACAAGAAACTATAGAAATGCCAAAGCATCCTCAACAAATGAGTGTTTGGTACGGCATGTTGACCAGCGTCAACATTGGCTCGTTTTCTTCGAAAAAGATGAAGGAGCTGCCGTTGCCGTCGATACTGATTATTACCGTGCGATTCTCAAAGGGGATTTGTTGCCAAATGTTAAAGAGAATGACGGCGACAGTGATTTTAACGGAACCGAGCTGCAAGTACGTAAGGATAAATCCCATGCCAACCATATAGGCACAATGCAAGCCTTAAAACCCGAAATCGAAGTCGCCATTGTAGCCATAGAGTGCCATAAAATTAAAACTTTGTTGAAAAATGTGTTAGACAGATAGACCAGAATGTCGTATGAATCAAGTGGTCCATATAAATGTAAATATATAATTGGCGTTTTGCAGCCGCTGATGCGATTTTTGGCCGAGCTCCTCCTCGGTGTCCTAATGTTTTCCAACAAATGAAGGGACCTACAATTTCATTCCGAACCGCCTACGAATAGCCGATGGATTTTTATGAGGAGCTTTTTATTTAATGTCAGAAATCTACTCAGACCTGACATTCCCTGCAAAAGGACGACCGAAAGAAGAAAAATTGATTTTCTATCATTTTGAATATTGGTCGAACCAAAAACCTAACCTAGGCCTTCCGAATGGCAGTACGTAATACTAAACACTCGGCTATTACAGCCATCATACTAATGTCTCAACGTTTTCCAAACAGAAAACAATTATTTCCCAAGAAAGATCCTCAACGGAATAATATACGTCTGAGTTTGATCTGATCAGTAAACGAATATCCAAAAAAAAAAAATTAAATGCAGAAGAACGTGAATTCGAGTTCTCGCCAAGGCAACTTTCAAAAATCATGGAAAAAATCGTGAATATTCCTTACCCACCACCATTACTCACCTTCTCATCTGTGCCGCGATGTGTTGTGTTACCCTGCCAGAAGCGACGCACGAACCCCTTTATATAACCCGTTATGCATTTGGAATATTGAAAGCCTGGATACCAGCATAATGAGCCATACCCAAAAACCCAACAGGACGGTTCAACTTCATCATTATTAGGCAAATTGTTGTTGTTGTTATTATTATTTAAGTTATGCACAGCCAATGCCGCCGCAGCATCAAACATTTCTTCATCTTCATTTGCCGCCGCAAAATCGCCATTAAAAAATAAATTTTCAAAAAATTCCGGTGCACCACGCAACGCTGGATTTTCATTGAGATTTAGATTATCAAAGTCTGGATTGAGGTGAATGTGGTTGTTGTTTTCATGTTGATGTCTGTCTCGACGATGATTATTGTGCGCCATCTTTGATGTGGGAAGCGTAATGAATGGTTAGACTAGAGCGTGGTGTTTGAGGGAAATTTGGGGAACTGAGAAAGGGAGATCTGGATAACTTATCGCTTTGACTTTTGTTACCGAATATTTGATTTTATATTTTTTTTTTATATTGGTTGTACTAAAATTTTGCGAAATTATATTTAATTGTTTGTTTGTTTGTCTGTTTGGTGGCAGCCTTCGTGCCCGTTCTTTTGTTAGCTTCGCTCCAAGCTTTGCTTTGGCTTTTATAAAAAATAGTTATTGTTGCTGTCGTGATTGTTTCTCGCAGGACATCGATTTTATTTTTGTTTGGCTGCGCTTTTGGCTTGTTGCTGTTGGTGTGCTTTGGCGATTTTCAATGATGTGCTGTGCGAGAATGCATTTAATTGATATTTTTTAGCTCAGCATTTGCTTGGAGTTGCTACTGCTAATTTATTTAAATTTATAACATTTTTTTTATTGTTGGACGATGCTCACTTTTGAGTATTTTTTGTTTGTTTGTTTTTGAATTTTGTGTAAGTTGCGCTTATCGAAAATATGTTGCGGCCGTTGGAAGCTTAGATGTATGAATTTGGTAGAAGCAATGAATTTTTCTGTAAATTAAAGGAAGAGAAAAGAAATTGTTTAAAATTGGAATTTGTGTACGTAAATTTTTTGAATTCAAACGATTTTTGACAAAAATTTGTTTTTGTTTTTTTCGAAATTTCAAATTATTATTCAAACAGAGTGTTAGCTTAAGTTTTATATACGCTTTTATATTGTTGCGAAAATGCGAGGCGAATGTCAGATGAAAGAGAGAAGCCGATAACTAGTACATTCTAGAAACGGTCTAACAAGCACCTTCGATAGCGAACAACTCGTTGCTTCTACGCTTTCGTCTGCGAGCAGCCGACTGCTATATAAGGGCGACACTCAGCGGCCAAGTAAGTTAGTTACAAAGTGAACTGGTTGGCGTTAACATCAGTAAAGTCGTAAAGTAAACGCGTTGGAGATTACATTTAAGTAAAGTAAATTGTGAAAGTTGATGCTAGTGATTGTAAATAGTAAGGTGCATTATAATTGAATTGTGAATTACTGAGAAAATAAAGGACATTAGATTAATTCTTTACAACGAAAGAAACTGCAAATTAAGTTGGCGAGTTTTATTTAACAATCCAGAGATCGTACCTGAAGGATTCAGATAAACATCGAGGTTGATTTAGAAAAATCGTAACAATATGTTGATAGTAGTAAAAAATATTCGGTAAAGAGTACTTCAGAATGAATATAGTGTATTATTCGCTGAAAAATGTTATTAACGAAGCTTCACAATTGCGTTCTCTCAGTGCATATTTTACTGACTTTCTATCTCACCGAACGCGGTGAGAGTAAAATTCTCAACAATTGTTACTGCATATCATCTCGGCGAATAGGATTAAGTTGATTAAAATATTTGCTCTGTAACGATTGAATTTAATTATAAGAAATATTGTGCACCCTATATATGCACAATTAAAGTAGTTATTGGGTACTATGAAGCACGCTGTTGTGTCAAGTGGACCAGCCATTTTTTAATATTGATAGATTGCGCTTTTAGATCACGGTGTGGTTTGTATGTACGTCATAATTTCGCTGCTGGTTTGGTGAAGTGGCAATTCGCATATATTTCCGAAAAGAAAATTTAATAAAAAAAATAAAAGGTATTTGGAGCAGTTTATGAATTTTAAAGCAAAATTCAGATATATCTCTTGAATTAAAAAGAAAAGAAACGATGCAGTAGTCTGCTCTAGAGGGTTCAAAAAATGATTTTTTTTCTTAAATCTATTCTAAAACTAAGCAAGAATTTGTCCTTGAAATTTCAGTGGCTAATTTTGCATATTTTAGAAGCTTGGGCAGTTTTAGCGGCCGCGCATCGAGCAAGTTCGATTACTCGGGCAGATTTTTGAAGTGCGTTTTCTCGGATTTTCATTTTTACAAGTTTTAGAAAGCGCTGCCGGTGATAGCAAAAGGAATATATATACATATGTAAATATGTCCGATCGAAAAAAATTAGAGTGATCTAATTTCAGTATTAAATTATCTTCTAATTAAACTAATAAATGGAGATGAGTATTATTTAAACGGCGGCCGCGGCAGCCAGGTGGTTAGCATTGCGTACTGACGTTTGGAAGGCTCGGATTCAAATCCCAGTGTGACCAACATCCAAAATTTATAGAAAATTAATTTGAATAAAAAATTAAGCTAAAGTTTCTAATTACGGTCGTCCCTCGGCGTGTATTTCTGACATGAATATCAAAAGCTCCTCATAAAAAAACCATCAGCCGTTCGGAGGCGACTTAATAGAAACTGTAGGTCCCTCCACTTGGCGGAAAATCGCCTCAGCGGTTACAAAGCGCCATTTATTTATATATTATTTAAACTATTTTTCTTTTTGCAACTTGAACTGACTTTTTTTTAAAAAACATTAAATTTTTTATCCAAACTTCGAAAAAATTTGAAAGTTTCCAAATTCTTCGGCATTTTTTTTTAGTTCATATAGAAAAAAAATATGTTCGACTATTTCGGATACCTCGCACGACCTTCTTCACCGGCACCAGTTCACCAGTTACGAGTTCAGAATGCAACTGCAACTTAGCACAGCATTCGAAAATTGTAATTTTTTTCATATTAAAAATTGTCTTAAAATTTCGTTTAACACAATAATTTCCTTCCTTTCAAACTAAAACTTTCTCCAACAGCTTTTTTTTTTATAAAATACTTCGTAATTAGCAGAGATTCCATTAGCCAATACAAAAATGTGCGCAAATACCTGTAAAAATTGTGTGATGAAGTACCAAATCAGGGATATCATCGATATCTAAATTTCTGCTAGAGAATACAGCGCCTTAATTAACCCAATAATTTAGGTTTTAAACCTGCATTTGAACTGCTGTTGGTTAGGGTGATCATGCAACTCATCTTTAAATCGGATGAGCGCAGAAAAATTTCAATTACATCATCAAATTGGAAAAGAAAATTAAGAGTGAATCGAAAGTGTGACGTAAGCAAAGTGACAGCTGATTGCCACAATTTTACAATAGTGAATAACGAAATTCCCGTAGGCGCAATCTCAGAGCTCAAATATTCTTGGTCATTTGATGTATCCTGCTTTACTGTTTATTTCTTCCTCTTCTTCGCTTTTTTGCACAATTTTATTTATTTATAGAAATATGTATGTATTAATGGAAATTTTTGAGCGACAATACGAGTACATCTTTTTACGCAAATTGCCGAAATTCATAAAGTATACTGTTCATTCAAAAAAAAAAAAAAAAAATTAAAATTAAAATTAGAAATGGTAATGGCTTTTTTTCTGTTGATGTCTTCAAATGGCTTGGACCTCACATAAATACGCATAAGTAAATAGGTAAAAGTAAACAAGTTTATAACGAGATATCAACACTCGAGTTACCAAATAATGAAACAAAACGATTTGGTTGGATTTTGAGTATTTTTTTTTTTAATTTTAAGCAAAATTAAAATCTCTCACTAAGATCGACCGAAAATCGACCTAAATGTGTCACAATAACCCAAATCCAATATATCCTCTTTAAGTTTTTTCATACTCTTTTTTTGTTTAACAAAAGCCTTTTAAAACTTTTCTCTCTGCCACCCCAGAAATGTTTTTCAAAGACAGCAGCGGCCTGAGTAAAATGGCGCGGCAAGCAAATAAAAAAAAAATCCACTGAAACTGCTCTAAATCTGTTTATTTACCAGTTTGAAGATAATGAAATTTATTTATGTTTTTGATTTGTGCAAATAAAAATGTATGTATTAGTGTAGATACGAGTTTGCATATAAACTTCTTGCACGATATTTGTTTGTGAATACAAATGAAAGCTTTTTATTATTTAAATTTTTTCTTTGCTATTTTTAATTTAATTTCACACAGACGGAATTTTTTAGCTAATTTGTTTTCGCACGCAAATTCTCAATATTAGTATGTACATATATAAATTCACAAGTATATGCATTCATTATTTACGTAAGCAATTTTTTACAGTCGTGTGAAAATAAATTAAATAAAGTAGAAGATCGAGAAGGGCAAATATGCAAAATGTTGGAAGAACATCAGTGGGTTCAAAGCACTATTTATAAAAATTTTTATGTGGCAAAGTCTCAAATATTTTCAAAATACCAATGCATCTGTGTACCAGGTTTGGCTGAAATATCTCAAAAACTGAGTGTGTAATAATTAGACGGAGAGACGAGGATGACTAAACCAGCCCAACTCGTCATTTTTATGGATCTAACTCTTCGAAGTGTTAATACCAATTCATGCATATGAAAGGTATACAAATTGTAATCCAAACAATTTTTGCGACAGTAGAAGGTTTCTATGTGGTTTAACTGGCTAGGAGTTGCTTCAAAAATCCAAACGATTGATTCTACGAATGTCTACTATCGTCTGTAAGCGTCTCGAAATCGAGAAATTAAATGAACTAACCAATTATAACAGTGTTATGTGTTACGGTAATAACCCCAAACTCAAATGCCCTAAATACTTATGAGAGATCTCTCCCTAAAATAATACTGACTTCGCCCCATTACCTTATCCTTGCTTCGCTGCCTTCAAAACCAATTGGATGATGTAACTTTTGATTTCGTTCGGGTTATCAAAAATGAATTGAACCAGTTTTTCTGCCTTCAAAACAAAGCATTGAATAAATATATATTTCTACCTAGAGAAAAATTGGACACAAGAAGACGTTGATGAACTAGTTTGAAAGGATTTGAGACGAAATCTTATTTACATGCTTTTTTGAAATAAGTATTTATTAATTAATCAGATGAGTTTTGAACTTTTCCGGACTTAAAATATACACATCAAATAGGAAATATTTTGAAATCAGCTTTTAGCCTAGGCTCAACTGATGAAAAGCACTTTTTTTAAGAATAAACTTCTTCGACCGGTCGACAGCGATTTCGGTACTACTACGACTCGGTGTGAGTTGGGTATTAATTTAGATATATATTGAAATTAATTTTCCAATTTCTTTTACAGCCTATTCTCACTGCTGCCAGCAAAGTAAATTTTGTTACTTTTTTTAATAGCCGCAATTGAATTTGGTATTCTAGCGCACAGGTTACCGGTGTTTGACAAAACTTTGGCAGCACTGCTTTTTTTCGGTCATGCCAAGTTACATTTGCCAGTTGGTAAAGTAAAAAAGAAGAGTATTCACATCGAAATGGAAGACGGGGCGCAGCAAAATAAATACGTTTTATTTATTTGTTTATTAAGCCATAAATATTTGTACCTAATTTTGGAAAATATGCCTAAGCGACAAAAAAAAAGCTGAATGAAAACGCTAGTGTGATATTTCAAAAAAAAAAAAATCGATCTTTTTTCATATTTCGGTAGATTACACCTTTAGTAATAACATATTAAAATTTCAAATCGATATCTCAAATAGTTTTTGAGTTATAGCAATTTAAAGAACAGCCGCTCGGCAGCTAAAGAATCTCATTAGCTACGGGACGTACCTGAGGTATTTTATCTTTAAACGCCTTTTTTTCGAAACAGAACTTTCCAAACTTGCTGCGATGATTACTCAAAAACAAATGATCCGATCACTATCGACTTTTTTTTACATGTTCTATATATAGTTCTCTGTACAATGACCTACAGATTTTTGATCTGATCAAAAAATCGAATTTTGGCAGGCCAAAAACGACCAAAATTTTGGGTAAAATTCGATCAATCTTTGATTTTTTATCGTAGGTCATTGTAAAGACATATTACCTAGTAGAAATTTTTTTTTTTAGATTTCATTCACGGAGAAGGCCGGAATCACTGCAGCAGTAAAGGTCCTTTTGTTCGCGCCGTTGAAGATCGACTATAACTTAAAAATATTTAATTTTTTTCTTCAAAAATTTCCCTGTATATTCTTGAAACATGTATAAATATATTCTTAAAATTTCGAAGTAATTGATAAAGTATTTTTTTTAATAAAAATTCCCAAAAAACACCTTGTTTTAGGCCATTACACTAGGCGTGCCCCTTAAAGCCTCATATTTTTCTCGCAAACTTCTTAAAATGCCCGCTTTTGCACTCTTTTCTTCAACTTCAATGAATTCCAGGTCTAAAATATGTCTACGCATTTTTGGTATTTATTTTCTCTAAAACTGACAACACAAATTCAAACACTAGATTTTTTGTTACCTCCTTTTTCGCGGGTAACAAAATTTACAGGGTGACAGTGAGCTCAGAATACGAAATAGTAACAAAATTTATTGAATGGTAATTTTTAATACCAAAGTAAATAATTTATTAACACGACAGAAAAGGCCTGTTAATATGCTCATCGAATAGGAAATATTTTTAAACCAGTTCTTAGTCGAGGTTCAAATCCTGCCCAAAGGAACATCCGAAATGATGACGTATTTTTTAATAAACATCAATTGGTCACTCGAGAGCGATTTCGGTACTGCACAGTTGAGGCTAATATTGAAATGAAGATGCAATTCGGGGTGAGTTGGATATTAATTTTGGGATCAATTTAGAAATAAATTGAAATTAATTTATTCCAATCACTTTTAAAGTCAACTATTTTCTCGCTTTGTGCATTTGCTTTGGTCACACACTGTAGTTGTGAGTATCTAAAAATCTAAAAAACTAAAATAGTTGTTTCGGCACGTGCGTGCAAAAAAAAAAAAACAAAAAAAAAACGCTTGGCCCAATTTAACAAAAAACATATTAAAATACAAGTCACATATTTCAAAGTCATATATATGTATATCTACATAAATATGTATATATCTTAAACTTTGAAAATATTGTGCGTAATTTATATTTAGCAAGATTTTTTGTTTTGTAAATACAGATACACATATGTATGTACATACGTACAACTACACGGTGTGTCCCAAAAATAACCGAACTTTTTGGATATAAAATAAAATACCCATTATATTATCTTTGAAAGTTATTATTTATTCAAAATCGGTTCCATTTGACTCAACACAACGTTTGGAACGATCAACCAGCGCATGCATAGATTTTTTTATGTCATTTATAGAAATGTTCTTCAGTACCTCGGTTACGGCTGCTTGAATGGCTGGGATATCATCACAAAATGCTCCCTTCATCTTGGTTTTCAGTTTTGGAAATAAAAAATAGTCACATGGTGATAGATCAGGCCAATACGGAGGATGGTTGATGAGAGAAATCCCTTTTTTCATTAAAAATTCGAGCGATTTTTTGGTCGTCATTTAATTCTTGTGGAACCAATCGCGCACAGACCTTTCTTTTCCCCAAATCTTCAGTTAAAATTCTCCAAATAGTGTTTTTATGTGTATTCAATTCCTCAGCCAACATTCTCGTAGTCAAATTTGCAACGATACCAATGATTTCACGGACTTTTTCCACCAGTTCAGCACGATTACTAGTGTCTGGACGTCCTACTCTAGGGTTGTCATTTAAATCCTCACGACCATTTTTAAATCGTGTAAACCACGTATAAACTTGCGTACGACTCATACAATCATTACGATAAAATTTTTTCATTTTTTTTTTTCAAGTTTGACACAAAATTTTATATTTGCTCTTTGTTCCATTTTATTTTTGAACCATTAGCACACTTTTGGTTTCCCTTGAAATGGCTGTCACTTTTGCATCTGTCATTCGACTAGGTGCATTTGAAAGAGGATGAATGTATCTTTTTAATTCTGAAAATTTTCAATAGATGGCGCTGTTGTTGTATGATTTAAATATAAAGTTCGGTTATTTTTAGTACACACTGTATGTGCATATTTTATTTATTTACGCTCTATTTTCAATTTCGCTTTCGTTGCGTAGAAGACAATGACCATTGTTTGCCTTGGTATTGAACTTTTATGTAAGAATTGCTTAAAAGCAAATTTGTTTTTTTTTTTTACAAGATTAATACATATATATAGAAATGCATTTAGGTATATATGTAGGTGTGTATGTGCTAGTATATATATATATATATATTTTTAAGCTTTGAAATAATAGTATTATGCACCTACAATAATATTTACAAATAAATTACGTGCTTTTTTTATATAATGTACACATATGTATATATGTACATATATAACTATAGAACACATGCAAGTTAAAAAAAATTATTCACTTCATTTCGTTCAGCTTGTGTAAATATGCATATGTACAAACAGTTTCTCACAGAAGTATTTTGCAATGTTATTTTAAATGCAATTTTCAAAATTTGCTGAATGGAGCCGAGCTATGAGCGGGCGCACTTAAGAAGAATAGTAGGCGAATGGTACTCACAAAAGCATACCGCACGGCGGTTTTTAGTGTAGCGTCGGCATAACGTACAGTATCAGGCGAAGCGTTCCCATCGATTTATTGGCAGCCGAAAAGAAAAGACGCCAAAAAAAATGAAGAACCAAGGATCCACTGTCAATACAAACAGAGAGGACATAAGGAAAGAAACCCTGATCCAGTGGCAAGAAGGAAGGCATGGCCGCTGGATGGCCAGTTGAATAGCAGACGTCAGAATATGGACAACTAGGAAATTCGGTGAAGTAGACTACTACATTACCCGGTTGCTGTCTGGTCACGGATATTTCAGGAAATACCTTCATAAAATAGGGAAAGCTGAAGATCCGTCATGTATCTATAACGATGTTGACGAAGATGACGTCGAGCATACAATCTTTCAATGCACTCGCTGGCAAGACGCGAGAATCAAACTTGAAAACATAGTTAGAGAACTAAGAGTAGATAATATTGTCTGAATTATGCTAAAAAGCGCAGCAAACTGGATAAATGTAAAGGAGTTCGCAGAAAAAGTACTACGAGCGAAAAAGCGGGGTCTGGACGCAGGTGGCAAGATATAATCTCACTATGAGAAAAATGGAACGCCACCCTGAAGTAATGCGTAAGCGGTTCCAGGGTGGGCGACAGTTCCCTAGAGGAGAGTTTTTTAGTGACCTGCAAGTTGCACATACCACTGATGTGACCTGCAAAAAAAAAAAGAAATTAACTTCAAACTTAATATTTGCCATAATAAACATTTATAATCATTCAAATAAATTTTTAGTGATTTTTAGTTAATAACAAAGTACTTTTGTGTACTATGAAATACGACTTTTGCACTTTTTGGAATACATATATGGAATATTTTGGGTTTTTAATGAAATAATTACATAATATATTAGTAAGCTGCAGAATATATATATATATATATATTTATTATTAAATAAATCGCAAACTAAAATGGAAAAATCAAATGTTTACTTAATTTTCTTCATATGTAAAATACTTCTATGAGTAACTGTAGGTAGTACAAATTCACTGAAAAATGCACCGGCAAGTAGGCGTGACAGCGTTCAACGTGTAATAGCTTTTAAATGGCTTTATTATTCATTTAGTTGCGCAATTTCAACGCATTTACGCTAAATAAATTCTTTATTGCAAAACCGCAAATGTCACACTATTTGCTATAATACATATATACATACATATATGTATTAATAATAATCAAATTCAATTAAACCGCCGGTGAGCGCAACAAATTCGCACCAATTGCGTTTTCATAGCTGGAAGTGAGCTCAATTGTTTAAGCGTTCGTGCACACACACTTCTTCTTCTTCTTTTTCTTCTTCTGAATTAATACATAAATACATGCACACATATATTATATTTAAATCCAATTTCTTATCTTCACAATCTTCAATTATACTATCGCTCACTTAACATACTTGACTTTCCCTCATATACATATATATTCTATGAATTACATTCATAAGTACTGTTATCAGCCCAAGTGCAAACTTAAATTAAGAATATATTACAAGCATATATACATACAAATATATAAAAATAAAATGCAGTTAACTTTTTGTTTGGCAAAATAAAAACCGTGTCGCACTCTTATGTACATTTAATATTCTTAATTTTATTTTGCTTTTCCTGTTTGTCTTCGCACTTTTCAATGATTATCAAATTACGTGATGTGGTTGATGTAGATTGGGGCAGCGCAAAGGCCTGGGCGAGCACAATAAAGTTAAACATTGTTTCATATTTGCTATTTGCTAATAATATTATTATACATTTGTATACATTCCTCTTTGCTCACTATTCCATCTTTGTCACGCGCTAGCCACATGTGCGTTGTGGGAAGAAAGTTTTATTATATAAAATATTTTAATATACATACATATATCAAGAGAGGGTGTGCCTATAATTATATATAATTATATATAAAAATTTTAATAATTTTTTTATTTTTTTTTAATGATTTTAGTTATCAAATTAAATGAAAATTATCCACACAAAGGCTTTTATTTTCCATATTACAGTACTAAAAAATGTAAAACTCATATTTTGGAGTAGATTTTTTACGATTTACGATTAAAACTCAAAGTTCTTTTTCGATCAAAAATTCAGTTTTAAAATTTTCTTTACTTTGGCTACAATTAATTTTTTTTTTTTTAATTTAATGTTATTTTATTTTTTTTTTATTCAAATTTAGTATTTTTTTAATTTCATTTCATTAATTTTTTATTTTAAATAAATTAAATTTATATTTTTTAATTTAATTTATTTTTTTTTATTTTAATTTAATTAATTTTTTTTTTTTTGAAATAAACTAAATTTAAATTTTTTTAAATTTTATTTATCTATTTATTTGATTATAACGATTAAAACTTAATGTTTTTTAGATCAGAAAATTAAATTTTATTATTTATTTGTTTTGGCTACTATTCAGCTATTTTTTTGTGCCTTTCTGTGAAAATGTTAATATTAATTTAATTCATTAATTTTTTTTATAAACGTTATTTTATTTTATATGTAAATATTTGAATTTTCATTTATTTTTTTATTGTAATTTTATTTAATATTTGATTTTAATTTAATTTATTTTTTTCATTTGAATTTTATTTAATTTTTTATTTTAACTTATTTTTTTGTTTGAATAAATTTTTAAATTTTTCTCTCAAAATAAGAATATTATATTTAAAAAAATTTACATTTCAAAAAAATATATAGCATAAAGAAATGTGCCAGTCTCGAGAAAAACGCAAAAAAGCAAATGAAACCCGTTTTAAGTAATTTTGGTTATTAGGTTACTCATACGCCCCGTCACGGCTGTTTTATAGAACAGTAGTAAATTGAGCTGTCGAAAATCATTATCGATTATTTTTAAGCAACTTTTTTTTCTTAACTGCAATTTTAGTTGAGATTTGTTATAAGAAATTATTTACTATCTTGGGATGGTGGTCTCCGCTTCATTTCCTGGTTGTAAAAGTAGTGCTCATGCCACTCTAAGCAAGACGCTACCAATGTACCAAATTTCAAGGGTATCGAATAATTAATATCAGTCACTGTTCCACTTTCCGAAATTTTTTCACAAACCTTTGCGGAAACCCATGGAATATTTAAAATTTAGCGTAGTCTTCCCGGTAGCATTGGATCAATACAATATAAATAAAACCATGGAAATATCTCATAAACTGCATTCAAAGAGACAAAGGGATAGACGGGCAAACGTAGGAATGGACATGGCTAAATCGACTCAGTTCACTGTATATTTTTTTTTTTTGGATCTATCTATCTAGAAATTACAAACCGAAGTTATTATATAGGATTATTCATTTCGTGATTTCAAAAGTATTATGTTGGATTTTCACATCTTGTTTTAGTTAAAAGTAAGGCATTTATGAAAATGGACCGCCTAACAACCGCAAAATGTGTTAAAATTGTTAAAATTTATACAAAAAGTGAGTGGCGATTTTTCGAACGATATTTCTTTCAGCGTCGAACTACATTTCTCACTCGAGGGGTACGTAATTAAACAAATTTTTCGTACTTGGAGCTTTGAGAATTCTCAAACTATCGTAAATCAGCCGGAAGCACTTACTTTCTGGTGTGCTCTTTGGTGCGGAGTTGTGACAGAAGCTCACTTCTTTGAAAACGACAATGTCACTGTCAATTCGGAGCGTTGTAGCCGCTTACAAACCCACTTCTTTTGGCCTACAATTGAAGAACACGACTTGGACAACATGTGGTTTCAACAAGTTGGTGCCACGAGCGCTTATGGCTTTATTGCGAGAGATATTTCCCGTTCGTGTTATTTCTCGTCTCGGTGAAACCAATTAACCATAGAGATCGTGCGATTTGACATCGTTGAATTTTTTTTTGCTTTGAGAGCTACGCGAGAGACTGTGCTTATGCGGATAAACCTTAAACTTTTGAGTATTTCTCATGAAAAATTCGTCAAGTTATGGCTGCGATACTGCACAAAATGTGCGAAATATTGGCCGAAAATTAGTTCAAGCGGATCGAGGTTTGCAAATATTTGCATTTGACGGTCATTAAATAAAGAATTTCATGAAAAAAATTATTTTAAATGCAGTTTATTGAGGTTTTTTTACGAAATCGCAAAGTGGTAAGGTATAAAAGGGTTTAATTGATAAAAAAAATGTATACCTAATTAGTCATGATTTTGTTCAAAATTTAAATACTTTCGTGTTACGGGTAATTGCAGTGTACATACATTTTTTAGTGGAACTTTTTTTTAAAATAATTTTCTTCAAACCAAATTGGTTCGGTAACCCCTAATAATACTCTGTTGCTCGTGATTTTTTTGTTTTCGACTCATACTTTTCCCTACACATTATATTTGTTAAAATACTTGTATTTATTTGCTATCAGTTTCAGAATATTTACTTAGACACAGACTAATTTATACATACATATGTTTAATTTTGAAATTTCGCCCTTGCTTAGTGTTGTCAAAATGGTATAGTAGAGTATGAGGTTAAGTAATAACCATTATTTCTACATGAAAAAAAATATTTATTTATTTAGATTTTTGATAAATATTTTTTATGATAAATTTATTGAAAACAAAAGAAATGTGTATGTGTGTATGAGAGCAAGAGCAAATTAAGTAATTTTTAATCTATCATAGCAACACTTATATAAATATTTACTAGTTTAAGAAATAAATGTGGGCGTATTTTACCACCGTAAACACTTATCATATTTTATTATTTTATTAGTAATAGAGCGTCCCAAGAATACGACGTGATAATAAATTAATAATTTGAACTACTTGACATACAAATAAGTGCGAATGGTAAGCGTTGAAGATAAGCAGTTTTTAGTTGAGGTTCTTCTATATGCACTCACACGTACATACACATATGTACATATCAAATTAAATCGAAGAAAAGTACTTTTTCTATGAATGTATTGTATGAGCAAGTGAATGAACTTATTTGAAGGCCAGCTATCAGCTATCTACATTTTAGCAGACATTCTGACATATTTTCACATACTAACAACATATGTATGTATGTATATTTGTATATGCAAAGCTGCAAATAATATATGGGTGTTAATAAATTATTTCTAATTTTTCTACTCGTACATATGTTGCAGACGTCACGCCGCCCAAAGAATTTCCTTTCAATTTTGCTTTCAGTGTACTGTAGTGTTGAAGAAGCGCAGAAAGTAAACAAAAGTCCATATATATATATATATATATATATATGTATAAATAATTAGAAACATATGCAGAGCTAAAAAGAAATATATTTACATTTGTTTGTGTGCACTTAAGTTTTGCGTAAATTTTGTGATAAGAAACAGCCAACTTGGCCGTATCAGACGGTCTTGCATGTATTGTGTTGTATTTGTTTACGTTCCGTTTTTTTTTCATGCCTACAATAAATATTCTTGCTTACCATATCGTATATAACATAACATATATAGTTTCACATATACTCGTACATATATATTTATTTGTTTATATGTATGTATGTATGTAGACTTGTGAACTATAAGTGTAGTGATTGTTTTTATTTTCATTACTTAGCTGGCACATTTATTTGTTATTGTTAATTTTATTCCAATACAAGTGATTTGTAAATATAAAAGAGCATATATATGTATGTATGTGAACCATAAATAAACAATCTCTAGAACTTATTATTTTATAAGAAACTCAAAC